TCGGGTTCGTTGCCACGATGCTCTCAGTAAGGAATAAATACAAATTTTACCGATAGATTTATTAGGAAAACCTACTACATACATGTATATGTAATAGTCTTTCGACATATAATCATATTCACAACTTATAGTGTTATCAGTGATTTACCATTATTTCAATTATGACCATTTACACAAAAGCTTTTTTTATGGTCATGTAGCTATAATCGCCTCATTTTTTTTTCTTAACATCGGGCTCGATGCTATATGATGTTCTAGAAGCTTCCGTCAATATAAAGATCGGTGAATGACGGAAATATTTTGCACATTTCCCTTTTTAATCGGTTATCACAACTTATTTCTTTTATATAATTTAAATCGAGTTTTGATTGAATAATTCAGTGATGACGTTTTCTGTAATAAATAAACGATTGCTTGTTGTCAGTTTCATTAAAAATTGCCAGTAACTTAGATCCGCCAACCGGAAACGCCACCTTACTCACGTTTTAGCTATTTCATGGCTGTTTATAGAAAATGAAAGTAGACTTTTAATTTAATGTACGATACTTACTATGCGAGTGAAATCTAAATATAGTTTACGGACATCAGCTTGCATCTAGTGTATTGTTAGAGGACTAAGTAAGAACTCTGGTGCACCCGTTTCGGAGTTTATTTGCAAAATTTATTAATTTATAAGTATAGATTATTTAGAATGTCTATTAAACATTTTTGGGGGGAAAAAAGCTAAGATATAAGATTAAAATTTTAAAACTTTAACATAATAAAACAAAATAATAACCTCTCAGTGACCTGAATTTGTTTCAGATTCAATAATTAAAAGAGATTAAAATACAAAATGTAATTGAAATGTAATTGAAAAGTAATGGTCATTACTGACATTATTTTTAAAGTAATGCATTACATTACAATTACTTGTATTTGAAAGATTGATCCATTACACATCACATCCCATTACTTTGAAAAAATGTAATGATTACAATGCATTACCATTACACATTACCATTACCCCAGGTCTGAATCTAGATCATGCCCTATTTACAAACACAAACGTTTGACGTGATGTAAAGAAGAATGAAGATGCCATTGAATTCTAAGAATAATCAAGTAAGTTCATATCATTAAACTGAATTTATTTTATGGATAAACATAGAAATTTGAAATTTAAACAATGCAACTGTATCCATGCCCCTTTAATTGCTGTGGTAAAAATTATAGAAATTTATTTCAAAATTAATGATTATCTCCCTCATGCATAACTCTGATCCTTCGACGTATTTGGTTAAAGTCTTTGTCACCCCTTTTCAGCTCTTCAAAGTCTTTTTATTTAAATATTTCGAATTTCCAAAGTTTAGGCATGAGCATCACTGAAGAGATATAATTTGTCGAAATGCGCATCTGGTGCACCAAAATTGGTGCCGTATATGATTTACATTATGACCCCTAGGTTGAGGCCTAGCTCTGCTGGTGGACTGTTAGTCCCCGAAGGTCTTTACAGCCCGGTAGCTAAGTACTTCGGTACTAGCTTGAAAATACGGATATATATTTAATTGCTGTGGTAAAATTCAGAAATTTATTTCAAAATTAAGGATTATCTCCCTCATACATAGCTCTGATCCTTCGATGTCTTTGGCACCCTTTTCAGCTCTCCAAAGTCTTTTTATTTAATGATTTCCAACGTTTCAGCATGAGCATCACTGAAGAGACATAATTTGTCGAAATCAAAATTGTACCGTATATGATTTCCATGATAAAAAAAAATAATGGATGCCTGGATTGATACATATTATTGGACATTTTTTCGTTGTAAATGATAAAAATAATAAATTTTTAAAATATTAAGAAATTGTAAACTTTCTATGATGTTCAAAATTCTACGTTTGTGCAACAATTCTGATTAATCTAAACAACAATTTTGTCATTTTTTTCAATTTAAATCCCATTATTGTGAAACGTTGAATGAAATATTAAAATCTATAAGGTTAGACTTATTCATTTTATGTTATTTTTGTTAAAAGTTAGTTTGTTTCATCTGTCCTTAAGGAGAGATCATAATAAAACATTCAAGTAAAAAAATTGCCAAACTTATTTTCTCAGTTTTTTTCTATGTAAAAGTTTGATCGCCTAATGTGGCCCCACATTACCCTCGGAAACCATGGTTTTAACAAATATGAATCTACACTTGCTAAGTATTTTCTAATATTTATATGACTTAGGCCATTCCAAGTTTTTTTCTTTGTTTAGCGTCCACCCTAAATGAAAACCTATCTTTCTATCCGAAAAAAACACACAAACCTAAAAGGAAAAACACAATATTTTAAGCACAATTCTAGAATTTCTCATCATCACTTGATAATTCTACTAGCATTGTAACTTAAGTTAACTACTAGTTTATTGAAACAGAAAAAAGTTGGTACATCACTTGAAAAAAGAGAGATGCCGATCCCGAAAGAGTAAATTGCGTTTCAAAGATTTGTATTTGTTGATTTTAATTTGTGTTTGTTTTATAATTTCATAACCTCAGAACCAATCCGTCCGCGGACGCTAAACATAGAAAAAACTTGGAATGGCCTTATCATTGCTTTGCTGTTCTTTAGAAAAAAAATTTAAAGATTTTTTTTCTATATATTCATGATCAGTTTTTACGTTGAAAAACATTCATTCTTCTGGGGCCCGTTTTACAAAAGAACTTACGAGTAAGACCGAAAACTTGAGCTGATTGTAAAAACAAAATAAATGATTCTATTAAAAACTGCATGAATAAATATATCTTTCTGAATTGTTTTTTAAAAGATTAAAACCATTTTCAAATTAATATAAAAAAGAAAGATATTTCCGAAATAACATTTTGGACTTAGTCGTAAGGCCTTTTGTAATACGGGGTCCTGGTCTTTCCTAATTGCACTCTTTTTAAACCTTTAAAGATGTTGATTTGAAGATTTATGTTAATTGATTTACATCTGATTCTCAAAACAAGTATGTTTCAATTGAATATTGTATTTTCGTTAAGGAAATTTCATTTAATACAAGTTTATGTAATAAATATAACACATAACTTTTAAAAATGATATACATGTAGTGGTGATATTTTAACAGGCACCAATTATAAGCTTATTCAAAACTCTTGAAAAAAGATGCTGAAAAATGCGTTTGGGTCAAGAAAGGATGTTCTTGTAACTCCCACCTCTTTATTTGTAAGTTGTATGAAATGAAATATATGCGTTAAAAACGCAGATTTTAATACTGGCCTTAAGGACAGCAGCAGATATTATTTATTTTTCAAAATAGCAACAAAACCATGTTTATGTAAGTAAAATGAATAATTTGAACCACATAGATAATAATTTCTCAATCAAGGTTTCATTATAATGTCCCACTTAGTGATGTGATAAAAAGTTGCATAGATTAATAAGGGTGACGACAAAAACGTAGAATTTTGAAAATCATAAAGTTTACAATTTTTTATCTATTTTAGAAATTTAAAATTTGCATCATTTACAATCAGAATATCGCGGTAGGTCCAAATATATTTAAATCCAGACATCCAATTTTTTGTTTGTATAATCTGTCCTTAATTACAGAGGTAGATTAAGATATAGAGACTTTCTAAGTGATAAATACCTAATTTCACTATCTCAACAACTATGTTACCATGATATCTGTGTAATTATGATAGCCACGGGAATCAGCAAGTGCATATTTAATAGAAGTTTTTTTACATTAATGTCAAAATTCCGAATGGCATATCCAGAACTTTCCCAGGTTCTTCTTTCAAAAATCATAAACTATATAGGGCTTGAACATTTTTTACTTGATCTGTTGATTTTGTTTAATAATACATGTATTAAAGAATTTAAAGTGAGTAAAAAAGCCTAGAAGCATCCATATCGTTGCTATTGAAACCAATGTCCATGTCAGGTCAAAGAGATCAAAGATTACACAGGAATTGGAATTCATTAAATTAAACTAAACTTCCTTTTAAACATTCTCCATATGCCAGAAAAATGTGCAATAAGATTGCTCTGTTTGTGTTGGATTTCTAGTTCTTTTTCTTCTCTTAAAATCTGTGTGAACAACATCTTATGGCATATTGTAAATGTCCTATTTGTGTGTCCTTCAAACATCTATTAGATGAACTAGAAAGAATTACACCACGTACAGAGTCTACACATCTGTTTCATATTTGGATATTTTACCAGAAAAAGGTCAAGGTAATGAAGTCAAAAATGATATATACCTTTCTGAAAGGTGTTTTATACGTAACATACATGTAAGATAAAAGCCCTATTTTCTCTCATTCAAATATATTACCAATGTAAATAGAATTTGCAAAAAGACTGCAGGTTAAACCTTAAGGGCAAAGTCACAAGGTAAAAAAAACAGAGTACATTCGGAAAGGTCTTGAAGCATATATAATGCACATGTCAAATGTAGATGCCCTATCTTCTTCCTTACAAAAGTTATCAGCAATGTTAATCTTTTTGGAAAATTAGGTCAAGCATTAATGTCAAAGTCATGGTGTTAAAAAATCAAAATACAATTGAAAATGTCTTGTCACAGGTAATACACATGTCAAATATGAATGCCCTATCTTCTCTCCTTCAAAAGGTAGCAGCAATGATAATATTTTTGCAAATTAGGTCAAACCTGAGAGGCAAGGTCATGGTGTCAAATGCCATAACTATGTTACAGGTAATGCACTTGTAAAATATGAACGTCCAATCTTCTCTCATTCAAAAGTGTGAATTTCACTTAAGTATTTCTATCACATTTATGTAATACTTAAGGAACTTTTAATTTAAAAAATATATATATCTTAAGTGATTTCTTTAAAACTTAAGTATGAATTAATAAGTTTTATGAATCCTGTTCCTGAGCCAATACATATAATGCATCAGTATTATTCATAATATGAACAGGACAGTCATTTTAAACCGTTAATTATAATGTACGAATCAACACAGAACTAAACACAAATGCAGATTTTCATTTTAATTCCTTTATTAACTTTCCGACTCCCTAAATTCGCAGATTTTTGTGCTGCATGATTTGTAAGACCCAATGAAACATACGCGCGAGTCCTTTTTAAATTTAATACAGTTTGGTTTTGAAGTTTTTAAAATTTGTAGTAACTCTCCGGAGGGTAAGAGAACATAAATGTTATTGCTGTCTCTTCCACATACATAGATATATCCTTCATAGTCCACATCAAGGCCATAGGGATATTTGAGATCAGGATGAGTGTACCTGAAGAACCTTTCCCCAATTTCATTCATAGACGTAACACTATGTGAAGAACATGATGAAGAAATTATATGGTTGTTTCTGTTCAGGGCGACTGAGTGTGTTTTTTCTTCGGTTTTGAGGTTTGATATAACATTTCCAACTGTGTCCATTTTTAAAATGAAAGTACCACAGGCAACATATATGAAGCCAGACCTACAAGTTATTCCAAAACATTTACTGTCTTTGTTGTGACATTTAAAATTTAAATTTTCCATCAATTTTGTTTTATCTGCAGATAAAGATACACTATGGATTCCACGGGCACTCCCCCAAGAGCATGTTATAAAAAAATCGTGTGAATTCGGATCTACCAACGTCAGATCATCTGGGAAAAATCGTAGAGAAAAATATTTAAGAAATTTCCCAGTACTATTGTGGTAAGCAATTTGCTTACTTTGTGTATCAACAAGAAGAACATCTCCATCTGGCAGAAAACACCCTCCAGTAATTTCACCTTGAGAATAATCTAGTTCACAAATCAAATATAATGAAGTCTGATTTAAAATATTCATATCAAAATGAAAATTCTTTAACTGTTCACCAAGAGTAAGGTTTGCAAACGTAGACAGTTTTAATATTTCACAAAGCTTTTGCTGAAAATCTTGTTTCACATGAAATTCTATCTGAGGAACCTCTGACTCAGCAACTTTGAAAATATGTTTTTTGATCTTATAGTACTCAATTACAAGAGCAATTGATGATCCACTTTCTTTTATACTCTCAAGTGTCTTCACATAAGAGTCTCCAAGGAGTTTACGATCTGAGAAACCTTCCACAGACTCTGTTAGTTTCTTTCTACATTCCTTGGTAACTCTGGATATTTCGTTCAAATGTTTTTCAAACAAAATTTCAATTTGTGTCATTAATTCTGTTTTCAACTCAGTTGATTGTTTTATCATGTCATCTGAAGCTTTGTCTATTTCTGCCATATTGTTTTTCCCATCTGTTTTTACTTTTTCTAGAGCCTCTATGTACTGTTTAATTTGTTTAATTATCTTGCTAATTTTTTGAGTCTTTAAGAGATCATGGGCTTGTTTTTCTACGGTTACAACTTGTGTACAAGTTCTGTGTACTGTACACTCACAATGCATACAACAAGCTTCATGGTGGTCATCACAAAAATATTTTATTTTCTCTTGATGTATGCTACAATATTCACGAGTTTCACTTCTATCCACATGAACATTTTCTTTGAGACTTCTAATAGGAATAATTCTGTGTTGTGAACTTGCAAGGCTCTTTTTGTGACATTTTGTACAGATACCACACAATGCCTCCATACATGTTTCACACCAATCACTTGCAATTTCTTCCTCGTTTCCACGCTTACACGCATCACAAAACTTTATATCATCACCTTTTGCAACTAATGCTTGAATTGTTTTATTGACTGGGATAAGCTCCGCCCATTTTTCAGGCAATGCCGGGAATACAGGCACAGGAACAAAGATTCTACAGAGCGGACACTGAAATCCTACTGGAGCCTCTTTTTGTTTACATGCCGTCACAATGTAGGATAGTAGGCAGTCATAACAAAAAGTATGGAGACAGGGAAGATATCTCGGAGATTTAAAGTTTTCAAAACAGATTGGACATACCGTTGGCTTTTCTGAAAAAATCATGGACATGCAATCAGATTCATTTCCATCTCTTGATGCCATAACTGATAACAATATAATATTAACAGGTCTGTCCAGAACAAGGGCAATCATCCAAACTGAAAGTTGGATATTAGATGTATTCCGATTCCGATTGGATAATTTATATTAATATCGATCTCGAACTTTTCATTTGGTTGCCTAAGTAAATCAGGGTTATTATTTGCGTTCTGATTAAATATATTGATGTATTTATTGTTATGCGTATCTTTTTCAAAAGAAATACGAGTATGCTAATGTATATATGTTATTTAATTGCTAATATTTACATTTTCAATGTCTTTGTCCGAGATAAAATTACAAATTGTAAAAACACTTTATTTCTACATAAATCCACTGGTTCAACGATAGGCGCGGTTAAAAAAAAAAATCACGTGCGGGGCGGTACAAATAGAGACAGAAGCGGGGCTATTAGCACGGGAATTTGCAGAATCAGGAGCATGTAAATATAAGGAATAACTGTCAGATTTTTTGGATTCATGACGATGATCAATCGATTGGCTTGCGTGATAATTTTATGCATAAACGCCTTCGGCGTTTATGCAAATTATCACGCAAGCCACTCGATTGATCAAATCATGAATCCAAAAAATTAGACAGTTATTCCTTAAATATAACAGCATACACAAGTCTATCAAATGCTTAAGAAATGAAAAAAATATTATGGTCATTTTTATTTATCATTTTACATTGTTTTGGTTATTACATCCTACTAACCGAAAATCTTTTTTTTTAAAAAGGCAAAGAAAAATGATAAAAATCTAAATTTTTGAAAAATGCTTTATGAAAAATATAATTCAACATGTATGCATGCACAAACTTTCTAGATCTTTGACATTAGTTGTAAATCATAAGATACTTACTGCTTGAAGCTGTAAGATTTTCATTTACTATTGATTAGCAAGAAAGTAATATAACGTGACTGTGTGCGAGAGGAGAATTCGTAACAATTTTCATTTTTCTGTCTATTTCTTCTTCTTTGATGACAAGGTCACAGGATCTTTTTTTAGGTAAAAATTTTTTTTTTTCCAAATTCCCCTGTTTTAATACATGGATATCATAAATTGATAATATATTTTACAAATAAGTCCAATTTAAAAAAAAAAAATGGATATATTGTTTAACACATGCGCAGCATTATTTAATTACTTTTGTGATGATCTCAGAATAATATTCCCCATTAAATATACATGTACTAGTATTATGTAGTTTTCATCTTGAGATAATCTTTGATAATCCAGCCTTAGAATAACATGTTCACATATTTAGGAACGATAAAATATATAAACACTGACCAAGTAATACAGAAAAAAACTATTACTCAAAGGCATCAGTATTAAAGTAAAACAATTACACGCGTACGTGCACAGGCACCTGAAGTGTGGATCGATAGCCCCCCCCCTTTTTTATAATAAAAAAATGTAAGAGCTTATAATTTCGCAAAAATATAAAATTTCCCCCCATCAATCACATCCACATGTCGTTCTATGCAAGCAGACTGTACCTTTTCTTACGTCTAGAGAATGGCCTTGTACGGTATAATAAAAATACACAAGGTGAGAAACAAAATTTGTAAACAAACGGGGGTTCCCTGCTTCGAGACACATTTCCAAGGTAATAACAGTGTTACCTATCATAATTTTGCATGTACTCTGTCAAGGAGATGTTCTTCTACTAATCTCTTTAACCTAACCCCCATCATTAGTGTTTTATATGTCGTAATCGGACGATTTACTAATCGGACACATAAAATTTTCTCCATTGACAGCTTTGAAGGAGGTTTTGGAGTTCGAACATCCGTCTCACTTTATCTGATTGGTTAACAGTGATACAGTTTAAATCTTTGTCTTTGTCTTGGAAATATGTCTCGACGCAGGGAACCCCCCTTTTGTTTACAAATTTTCTGCTTGCATAGGGCGACATATGGATGTGATTGATGGGGAAATTTTATATTATTGAGAAATTATAAACTCTTACATTTTTTTTATTAAAAGGGGGGGGGGTATCGATCCACACTTCAGGCGCCTGTGGTACTTGTAGTTTTTTGTGTAATAAATTAAGCAAAGTACAAAATGTAAGGTAGGGTGAGTTAACCTTGCATCGGACACATACCTTGCTTCGGACAACTTTAAGCAATAAACTTTCACTGAACCTGAGTCTCCCTGTGTTTTTACTTGTTTCTGTCTTGAAGGTGAAGATTGAAACTTTTTAATGATGACGACTTTTATTTTCATGTTCTGATAAAAATACCATAAGAATGGCCTTGAAATTACATCATATTTTGCATCATCAAAGGGGAGTAACCAGAATTTTACGATTTTGCAATTTTTTTTTAGAGTTGTCGTACTTTTAATTAGACCTCAACGGAACGAGTCGGACCTAGGTAAAATTTGTCAATGATTGATAATTTTTAAGAAATTTTTCAAAAGTTTTACTTCAATGTTTTTATAAATTTTTTAGAGTTGTTTTTACTGGTATGTTTATTTCACCGTACATCGGACACAAATTAACCATGCATCGGACACTTTCCGATGCATGGGTAATCATTTCCATTTTCATATAAAACCCAAATGACAGTTGTTTTTACGGAAATAGAAAATAAAAACTCAAAATTTTCAGTGAAAATACAAGTTATCGATATATGACGACTAGAAGTGGACTCAGGTTACAAGTATTTCTTAAAACAAGATGATGATAACCCACGAGACAAAGGCTCGAGTTGCCATGTTACTAGCATTTTAAAGCCTTCCTAAGGCGATGGGATGCAACTAAAATCTCTTCACATTTGTAGATCGAAATAATCATTCAAATTTGACTAGAAGGTTAATTTTTAAATATATTCATTTGTGGTATCTCTCTGTTATATAAACATGCAGAGAGCAAATATCTTCAAATCTGTATGAAGTTTTTGACAGGTCATAGGTCATTACGTGACCTAATCACACGGCGCAATAATATATCAACATAAAATGACTTGCTCTACTTAGCAATGAGCATGCTTTCCATGTAAAAAAAAACTGTTCAAAATAATTAATACTCAAGTGAAATAATAATAGTTTTATTTACAATGTAAACAAGTATTTAATACAGTTTTTGGCGATTGATTTAGCCTGTGTACGTATAGAGAATAGAAAACTATGAATATGTTTCAGCTGCACAGTTTCTACGTTTACGGTTTAGCCTTATTTTTCTTGCAGAACTTTTATAAAATCCTCATTTTAAACTCTGCATGCTATGCTATAATTTTTTTTTTCATTAAACTATACTCACGATAAATTTGTAAATCTGTTGGAAAATATCAATGCAATTCATCAGCCACCAACAGCAGACAAACACTTCGGCGTTGTCGTAACAATGTATGGGGTCGCCAGTGTCTCTGTGTCTACATCATAATACATATGCCTTACCGAAATCGTAGATTTAATGTTTTTGATCAAATTTTATACTTGATTTCAAGTTAACTGGCTCAGACATGTGTCTCCATCCATTCCTTTTCGACCGAAATTCCTCCAACTTTTTATCATCAAACTTTATCAAACGTATTTCTTGTGCCTGTTTCAGCATCGAATATCGATTCTCACGAATACAAAAATTTCCCAGACATCAATATACTCATTATTACTGATCACAAGTAGCATTTCACAAAATATTCCCTTCAAAAAAGAATCCTTTGTCTAATGAATTCGAAGCGTAACCGCCTTTCAAGCCGATTTACACCTTGCGTAATTTTGTCAAAATCTACGGCGAACGGTAAGTGCAATATTTAAATTCGAATATATTCGATTGTCCGTCTCAAATGTATATATAAGTAATAAATAACATGTTTAAAAACTTCAATGGGAATTGAAGTGGGTCGGTACGTGTTCAAATCTTCTGAGAAAGCCTTCGGCCTTCACAGGATTTGATCACGTGACCGACCCACTTCAATTCCCATTGAAGTTTTTAAACTTGTTATTTATTTCTTAAATAAAAGATAAAAATGTTTCGATATCTATAATTTTAAAGCAGCGAGATCAAGGTATGATATTTTTTCGGTTTAAATACCGCATGTCTGATGCATGGTGAATATTGTCCGATCCATGGTGAATTCAGACTTATTTCGAAAAAATCGGGTGTTAGTGATATTTTCTCAATAAAAAGAACACAATTCTGTCAAAAATTTATGTTTTAACCAAATACTACATGTTAAGCTCCATTTTGATAATATTCAGTCGGTAGCGATACTGCTAGAACTTGTTGAAGTGTGAGGGTGTCCGATGCATGGTGAATTCACCCTAAATGACAATTCTGTTTTTTTTTTCTGAGACTGCTTTGAAATGTTGCAGATAGCAACACTATGACTCATTATTATATTCATTACATTTTTAAAATGCAACAATGTGTATATAAAAATTGAATTTGTTCAGTTCATGCACTTCCCTCAGACCCCGCAGAAGTATTTGACCTTCTACAAAAGAAGCAAGAAGATATTTTTTTGATAATTTGACGGTAATTAAAATAACAGATCATAAGCTGGTGTTTCGTTTGTATTGATGAAAATTTTTTGACTCAGGTGAGCATTGTGGCTAATAAGCACCTTGTTTCTTTAGAAACAATAAAGCAGGGAAGAATATTCAGTGTAATATAGATTTAAATTTGGTGAAATCATGTTTCAGAGATCAGGGTGTGACCACTAGGATTAAAGTTTTTTTAAACAAACTTGAACCTCGTCACCGAAGGATGTTTTTGGCTAAGTTTAGTTTAAATTGATCCAGTGGTAGTGCCAAAGCCAGAACAGACTAACAGACAAACAAAAAGACGACAACAGTCAAATTTCTATCAGAAAACCTTGCTAGATCCCTTTGCTTTTGTTAGTTTAAAAAATTATACATTCCACCGTTTATTATTAATTAATCTTCGCCAACTAAAAATAGATATAACCTTTGAGAAAGGCATCACCCTAAGTTTCAGATCAAGTTTAGTGT